AATAAAAACCTCAAACTTAGCCATCCACCTTTATGTCCCTATAATCAATACAAATTAGAAAGAAATTATGTCAAGTTATTAAATTGTAATGGGTTTGAGAGCCAGACCCAAATTTAACTTAAGATCTATAAATTAGAATGGACCCAACACTGGTTCAACTGCCGGTTCATTGGTTGTAACTGATTTCTTCTGGAATATTAATCGGGTCGCGGTTAAACCGGTCCGACCGGCCGGGTCGGTCCGGGTTTAGAAACATTTCAAAGTCTGATTAATAGTGAACTTAGAAAAAGAAAAAAGAAAACATACCATGGAAGATCCATTACAGGTAAATGCCAAGCAAGAAAAAGAACAAGAGATAAAGATGGGAGAAGTTGAAGATGATGGCTTCAATGGCAGCTCCAATGGTGGTCGTAAACATATCTCAATACCTTCTTCAAGTCACATCTACTATGATCGTTGGCCACAAAAGCGAGATCTCTCTGGCTGGAATCGCTCTGGCCAGCTCCATTGCTAACGTAACCAGCTTCAGTCTACTTGTAAGAAGAACATGTTGAAACCCATATAAAATATTACTCTGCTTTCATTTCTTTTTAATATTTTAGGGATCGGAAACGGAAATCCAAACTAATCTCCAGGATCAGTGAAAATATATCATTTTTTATTCGATTTACGCTGGTTTTTATCAATTTTTTGATTGACAGTTTGGACTAGCGTGCGCATTAGAAACACTATGTGGTCAAGCCTTTGGAGCTCGCCAGTACGAGATGCTTGGTTCCTATACCTTCACGTGCATTGTTTCTCTTTTCATTATGTGTTCCCCAATCTCTCTTCTATGGATTTTCATGAAGAACCTTTTGTTATTGTTTCACCAATACCCTGAAATATCAGATATAGCTTCTGTTTACTGTTTCTGGCTCATACCGGCTTTATTCGGCTAATCTGTTCTTCAATCTTTGATTCGTTACTTCCAAACACAAAGCTTGATTTTCCCTATGGTTCTCACTTCTTTAACCGTATGTTTCCACATACTGGTTTGTTGGGTTTTGGTTTATACTTTAGGGCTTGGAACCAAAGATGCAGCTTTATCTATTAGCCTTTCGTATTGGCTCAACGCGGTTTTCCTCTGGCTTTACATGAGACATTCCAGAGTTTATGAAGGCAAACGGGTTTTAATATCAAAGGAAGCATTTGGCCACATGAGGATCTTCTTCTCCCTTGCGGTTCCTTCTGCTATGATGATTAGTCTTGAATGGTCGGCTTTTGAGATTTTGATTCTTATTTCCGGAGTTTTGCCAAACTCAAAGCTAGAGACATCTGTGATCTCCATGTGGTAATAACAATGCTTAATTATCTGGCAACAGTTGTATAGTCTCTTTAAATTATTTAATTTTGTTTGTGTATGATTCACGTTACCTTTTTAATAGCTTTATCCAGGGGCGGATGCACGTTAAGGTGTACGGGGACACGTGCCCCCGACTGTTGTTTTTTTATTTTCTTTAATAACCTTATGGAATTTGATTAGTGATTGTTAGTTTAGTGGGCAAAAAGTTAGTCTTATGGTTTACCTCAACTTTATATAACTTATTGTAATAAACAATAAACAAAACCCAATATTTAGAGCCCACTCATTAAAGAAATATGTAAAAGTTGAATTACTATATCTAGCCACCACAATCCACAAACACGCTTACTTCTTTATTTTAATCAAACTTCTCTTCTTCTCTTTAATATACTGTAATTTTTGTTTCACCACTTCCAGAAAGTAGGGTAAATTAAACCTAACTAATGTTAAACAAAAATTTATCATTATATTCTAAGTGATTTACAAGTTTTACCATCATGTTTCTCAAATTACTTCTTAATTTAAAAAAAAAATTGAAGGTTTTTTATTCAATTAATTTATTTCTATGATGATTTTTTTTTAAATTGGTGAAATTAAGTAAGCAATTGAGCAATTCTAATTTACACATTTCAGTTAACAAAGTGTGACAATTTGAATACATAAAATTTGCTATTTCACGTTTTCTCTTTTTTTTTTTCAATTGATTGTTTGCTTATATTCGATTAATAAATTTAACATGATTCATAATTTAATATACTAAAATAATTTCTGTTTTCTTTTTGTTAGGAAACAAATGGATAGATATTTTAAAAGAAAGGCTCCATCAACATTAGAAGAAGATGAATTGGAGAATTTGCCATCTGATCCTGCGGATAGAAAAAAAATATTGGAGTATCATCCAAATCAAAGAGACGAGATAAGACGCAAATATTTGATAAGAGGTCTTTGTCAACCCCGTGGTTATAAATTTCCTAAAACATTGATTGGAAGTAAATCAAGATGATTCAATCCATCTTGGTTTGATCTCTATGGTGATTGGCTGGAATATAGTGTGAAAGAGAACAAAGCATTTTGTTTGTTCTACTACTTGTTTAGAGATTACACTGAAAATAAAGGTGGAAATGATGCATTTGTCACAAATGTCTTTGATAATTGGAACAAGACAGGTAGATTACGTGATCATGTAGGAGCAGTGAATAGTTTTCACAATAGTGCACTGAAAAGGGCTGATAATCTAATGAAGCAAGGGCAATCAATCTTTCATGCTTTTTATAACCAAGATGATGCAGCCAAGAACGAATACAAGATCAGATTGAATGCTTCCATTGATGCGTGTAGATATTTGCTACGACAAGGATTACCATTCAGAGGTCATGATGAGTCAGTGGATTCAGCTAACAAAGGAAATTTTTTGCAGCTTCTGAAATATACTGCTAAGCAAAATGAGTCTGTTAGTAAGGTTGTGATAGAGAATGCTCCCAAAAATAATCAGATGGTGTCTCACAAAATTCAGACAGATCTAGTTCATTGCTTTGCAGAGGAAGTTATTGGATCCATTATTCAAGAAGTTGATCATGATGTATTTTGCTTGTTGGTGGATGAATCAGCAGACGTTTCTGATAAAGAGCAAATGGCAGTGGTTTTTCGCTTTGTTGATAAACATGGAATCAGTAAAGAAAGATTTATCGGTCTTATTCATGTGAAGGAAACTTCTTCTTTGTCTCTGAAATGTGCTGTTGATTCAGTGTTTACTAAGCATGGATTGAGTATGAAAAAGTTAAGAGGACAAGGATATGATGGGGCAAGTAATATGAAAGGTGAATTCAATTGGTTGAGATCTCTAATTTTGAGAGAAGCAAGTTCTGCATATTATGTCCATTGTTTTGCTCATCGGCTTCAGTTAGTTGTCGTTGCAGTTGCTAAAAAGCACTTTGAAGTTGGAGATTTCTTTGATATGATTGCTGTCTTGTTGAATGTGGTTGGATCTTGCAAAAGAAAAGATATGGTTCAGGAAGACCATAAGAAAAAAATCGAGGAAGGAATCAAGAAAGGTGAAATTAAGACAGGAAAGGGATTGAATCAGGAGCTTTCATTTCAAAGACCTGGTAATACTCGTTGGGTTCTCACTATAAAACACTACTAAGGTTGGTTGATTTATTTGCTTATATCATTCAAGTGCTGGAGTATGTCAAAAGCGAAGGGTCTGATGGTATCAAAAGACGTTAAGCTAATGGTCTTCTCAAATACTTTCACACCTTTGATTTTGTGTTCTACTTACAACTGATGTTGCTTATTCTTGGGATTACGAACACTTTATCAAAGGCTCTGCAAAAGAAAGATCTGGATATTCTGAATGCTATGTCACTAGTGAAGTCCACCAAACAACAATTGTACAAGCTCCGGGATAATGGATGGGATTCTCTTATCAACAAAGTTTTTTCCTTCTGTGAGGATTATAAGACTGAGTTGCTGGTTATGGAAGAAGAGTTTATTGATTCAAAGAAGCCTAGAAAAAGAAGCAACATAACCAACTTGCATCATTACCAAGTGGAATGCTTTTATACTGTATTGGATATGCAAATTCAGGAGTTTAATGACCGTTTTGATGAGGTAAACACTGAATTACTTGGATGCATTGCTTCTTTGAGTCCCATTGATTCATTTCATGAGTTTGATCAGTTGAAAGTTATGAGGTTGTCTGAGTTTTATCCAGAAGATTTTAGTTCTATCGAGCGGATGTCTCTTGAGCATCAACTTGGTCTCTATATCGATAATATCCGGGAAGATGAAAGATTTTCTAATTTGAAGGATCTTGAAGATCTTGCGCGTGTAATGGTGGAGACAAATAAACATCTTTCATATCCTTTGGTTTATTGATTTTTGAAGCTAGTTTTGACTTTGCCTGTTGCCACAGCTACAGTTGAAAGATGTTTTTCTGCGATGAAGATTGTGAAGACTACTTTGCGGAACCGGATAGGTGATCAATTTCTAAACGATTGTGTGATTTGTTTTATTAAAAAAGAATTATTTGAGAATGTAACAAATGAATCAGTGATAAAAAAAGTTTCAGGATATGGAACCTCGTAGAATAAATTTGTAAGAATTTATTTTATCATAAAACTTTTTTTATAATAATTTTTTTGTTATTTATAATATTATGCCCCGGTTAAAAATGATTCCGCCCCTGTTTACCACTTCATCTTTGCACTATAATCTGGCAGCTTCAATCGGTGCTGCTGCAAGGTCAGTCCGTGTGAATATTTTCATGAGTCTCTTACAAGTTTTTCTCTAAACTAATTCATGGTGGTTTAGTGGCTATATGACTTGTTATGGATCTTTAGGGACTATAAAGTTCGAATTGTCTTAATGCATTCAATCATGGTTGACCAATATAATTGTTTTGAATGAAAAAATAGCTGGCAATTCTTCTTTTGGATTCACCAGTTTTATTTCACAAACGGGTTTTCATAACCCAAAGTATTGGTCCACTATATACATACACATTCCCAAATTATCTTCAACATCTGGAATTAATCAAACGAAGATAACCAGTATGTTAACTTTTTTATAAATATAATATTTTATCTTTATCATAAAATACTTTGCAAAATGTGAACGCAAATGATGTTTCTTTTTGTTGTTGAAATGAAAAAAATCGATGTTTCATGTCAAGTAAAACGCATCATATAAACATATATAAAAGTAGAGAAAATAAATTGCGAACAAATAATCAAGATCTATGCCAGTATATAACAATTTGATTTGATTGTTTTCAAATTTTGAAATTTGCTAAATTTTGTAGCACGAATGTTGCCAATGAACTAGGAGCTGGAAACTCAGGCGCGGCCAAAGCTACTGCAGTTGTCGCAATCATATTTGCAGCTGTTGAATCTTTTGCCATAAGCTCTGCTTTGTTCTTCTCAAGCTATGTTTGGGGCTACGCTTACAGTAACGCACCTGAAGTGATTCATTACGCCGCAGAAATCACACCGATTCTCTGCGTTTCCAGTGTCAGGCGCCCTAACCGGTAAGCAATCCACATTCTTCTTATAAACACACTTTCTCTAAAGCTTTTGTTTTAATAAACCGTGAGGGTTCCGGTTTTCGGTCCATAATCTCGTTCAATGTATACTCGGACGTTTTCTAAATAATTTTTTTTTGTTTGGACGTTTGTTTTTGAAGGGGTTGTAAGAGGAAGTGGTAAGCAGAAGATTGGTGCTTATGTGAATATCGCTGCGTTTTACATCGTTGGGATTCCAATGGGACTTGTCTTCTGCTTTATTCTTGACTTCAAAGTTAAAGGTCTCTGGATTGGTATCCTCTGTGGATGCACGACGCAAACTCTCACCTTGCTCCTCATTACTACATTCACTGATTGGTCCAGTGAGGTATGACTCAATTGTTTCAATGTTTAGCATTTGTATTTACAATGAACAAAATATTATGTATTGTTCATAAATTTAACGGTTGTAGCTTCATTTAGAAACAAAGTGGTATTATAAAAAAATTAAATGTAAAAGAATATAGAAACACAAACAAACAATCTTATCCTGATCTATATGTTTTCAAAATTTTCATTGTATTTTTTTTTTTCGTTTGGTTTTGCTTGTAGGTAGTCAAGACTCAAGACATGATTGATGACCCATAAGTTGCTTGAAGATCAAGAAACATCTCTGACCCAAAATGGCTAGCATTTTATATCAAATCCTCAGTTTTGTTTTTCCGATATTTCTTACGGTATATTCTGTTTATTTATAATGGAGACTGGAGAGAACAATAAAATTTAATTAGTCAGCGTCTTGTACGTAACTGCCCGACAATATCTCAGATTCTACTTTAACTTTTTTAATTTATATTGAGACCATTTCGGTATTTGTTTTAGTTGTTTTCATGGTCAGTGACCAATTCTTTATTTTCTCTAAAGAGTTTTCGACCCATCAATTTGTATTTGACTTTTTATGTAACGATTCTCAGAAAAAGAAAAAGTTGGATCGGAAGATGGCAAAAGGTTTCTCCTTGGTGCGAAAGGAGGACAAAATAGAAGAAAAAGATTGCAGAATTAAGAATTCTGCGGAGATGATGAAGAAGGTAAGCTCCATGGCTGCTCCAATGGTGGCAGTTTCTGTTTCTCAGTATCTCCTTCAAGTGATCTCTATGGTTATGGCCGGCCACTTGGATGAGCTCTCTCTCTCCGGCGTCGCTATCGCCACTTCTCTTACCAACGTCACTGGTTTTAGCCTCCTCGTAAGATCTCTCTCTCTCTCTCTCTCTCTCTCTCTCTCTTATTTCGATCGTTAGTTTGGATTTGCAGGTGCGTTAGAGACACTATGTGGTCAAGCTTTTGGAGCAGAACAATTTAGGAAAATCAATGCCTACACATACAGCTCAATGCTATGTCTTCTCTTGCTCTGTTTCCCAATCTCTCTTGTTTGGGTTTTCATGGACAAAGTCTTGGAGGTTTTCCATCAAGATCCTCTCGTTTCTCAGCTAGCTTGTACATACTCCATCTGGCTCATACCGGCTTTATTCGGATATGCTATTCTTCAATCTATGACTCGCTATTTCCAGTCACAAGGATTGGTTCTACCTCTCTTCTTGAGCGCTCTTGGAGCTCTTTGTTTTCACATTCCCTTTTGTTGGCTTCTTGTGTATAAACTAAGATTCGGAATCGTCGGCGCCGCTTTGTCCATCGGTGTTTCGTATTGGTTCAACGTTGGTTTGCTTTGGGTTTTCATGAGAGACTCTGCTCTGTATCGTGAAACTAGGAATCTTCGGGCACAAGAAATCTTTTCGAGCATGAAGCAGTTCATCGCCCTCGCAGTTCCCTCTGCAATGTTGATTTGGTAACTACATTTGTCTCTTGCTTCTTTATTTGTGATGTTCAATGGATCCTTAACTTTATCTATCTCTCCTGGTTTTGGGGTGCAAGTAAAGCCTTGAATGGTGGTCTTTTGAGCTTCTGATACTACTGTCTGGACTCTTACCCAACTCAAAGCTCGAAACATCGGTGATGTCCATATGGTATGTGCATACATCCTGTAATATAACATAGAGCTATTTTGATCTTGATGATAGGAATTTCGAACATGGCTTTAACTTATTAATAGTGATATATGGGCTAATTCTATTCAATCCAAGATGAATGGACGAAATGATCCATCAATTCAAAGGTCCATGTAGAAGTCTCACTAAATAAATAAGAAGAGATCTAACATTAATACATGTAAGTGAAAATTTTGCTAAAAAAACCATTTTAAAAAGAGCTAAGTATTCTAAAGAAATGGGTTGTTTAGCAATATTTTCAGAAAAAAATATATTGTTTGACCTTATATAAAACAAGGGTCACAAAACCCATGTCTGGTCTACTCAGGACCGGTCTTGTAAGTGATATGGTGCATTTACTCATCTTTGGGAGCTCTCATCTTTGAGCAGCCTCACAACGTCAGCTCTGCATTACGTTCTAGTGGATGCAATTGGAGCAGCCGCAAGGTTTAGTATATTTTAAATTGATCATAAGAATTTTATTTGTTTATGTGAAATGTTCTCAACCCTTGTCTTGTTTATAGCACACATGTCTCAAACGAGCTCGGAGCTGGAAATCCAAGGGCAGCTCGAGCAGCTGCTAAAGCTGCAATTTTCCTCGGCGCTTTTGATGCCTCCTTAGTAAGCATTACTCTTTACAGCTACAGAAAAACATGGGCGTATATTTATAGCAAAAACATGGGCGTATATTTCAATCTTCGTCAACGGCTTTATCGCCGTGTTTTCGGGTAAGATAGTCACATCAAATGGAGAGACCATATAAAGCAGGATGTAGAAACGAAATCGTTTGTGATTAAAAAACGGCTGGAGAGTGATTTGTAGTTGTTACTTGAGAGCCAAGAAACTAAATTTATGTATTCTACGCAATTCTCATATCCCCAGGGATTGCTAGAGGAACAGGGTGGTAATATATAGGAGGTTATGCAAGCATCGGATCATATTATCTGGTTGGTATCCCGGTGGGTTCGATCTTGTGTTTCGTTGTGAAATTGAGAGGGAGAGGACTTTGGATCGGTATATTGATAGGTTCTACTATACAAACAATTGTTCTTGCTCTTGTCACATCTTTCACCAATTGGGAACAAGAGGTATACGTTTTATTTTTTATTTTTTTTTGTTGTTTTTCCCTATTTCCCTTTTCTTTCTCTTCTTGTTAATGTTATTGTTAGAGTTTTGAATCTTGTTTTGATTTGGGTTTTAGGCAGCGAAGGCCAGGGACAGAGTAATCCAGATGACACCAGGATGCAACCAAGAAACAGAAAGCATATTAAAAGAGGACGTGCAAGTTTTGTTTCAGGATTTTTCAGAAAATGTGTAAACCCATATTTCCCACTTGTAAGGGATCTGACTATATGTTTGCGTTTTAAAATTTCCAGTTTTTTTTTTTGGGGGGGGGGGGGGGGGGGGGGGGAGGGGGTGGCTATAATCGTTTTAATATTAATTTGTAAATGCAAACAGACTATGTAGATCTAAGTTGGAACATTTTTCATCATGTGATTCTAGGACTATACGTAGAGAGTATATTTTTTATTATAGAAAAGCTGGTACATTTTTCTGTTATTCTCAAACTTTCAAATATTTTACTCCTACGAATTCTTCCGAAAAACAAAATATAATATTCTTCCTATTGGATTTTACATGTGTAGATAAAATTACCCAATATTCTTTCGTGTGACTAAGATGGAAATTAGACAACTAGGGTTCAAGACAAACTTGGATTAGTACAAGATTAGTTTACTTTGTGGAGAAACTTCTGTATGCTTAGTTTACTTTGTGATGATTACTCATATTTATGCTGAAGCTTAAGTAGTAAATTATTGTAAAACACTCTCTACTCCTTATCCATTCATGTTTTAATATATATCTAAAATATCTCTCTTATCATAAACACAATGAAACCATTTATCATGACATTTCTTGAAATTTCTTCTTCTCCAAAATTTTTCCTTTTGTTCTTCTTTTTTTCTATAATTTCTAGGTATATAACTCGCGCTACGCGTGAATCTGTATTAATATTTTAGTTTATTTTTTTAGCTATCATCTTTAAAATTATTAAAAATTATATATATTTATAGAAATTTTCATTTATATAAGAGAATTTAATATATAATGTGTCATTTATCCTATTTTATTTATTAATTTTTAAAAACTAATAGGTAAAATAATAACAATGACACCTATCAAATTATCCAACTTTGACATACATATACATTTGATTTAAAAAAAAAATATTTTTTTGCGAAGATTTTGATATTATTTTCTATTTTCCATAGAATTTCTATAGTTCTTTTTTTCTTGAAAGTTTATTTGTTCAAATATTTAGTTTTTTTATTGAAAGTCTTATTGATGTTGTGTACCACTGCATATATAATTCATGATTCATGTTGATTCGCATTTAGTTTTGTTAGAAAGTTGTAATGATCATGCAAAACTATTTTTTCTTCTCCACCATATCTTCCAAAAGTTTTATGTTATATTTTTATTCAGTTTTCATTTTTTCAATTGTTAAATCGAGTTGTTGTAAAAATTTTAAATTGATAATTGATAATTGTTACTTTTTTATATACACGTATTATTAATTTTTTATTTAACTTTTAAAATTTTAAACCATATTAACATTTTCTGATTTAATACATATATTGATTTGGATCAATAAGATTGAATTTACTTTTTTTGTTGGACATAATTTGTTAAATTAACTTTTAATGTTTTAATTACACTTAACAATTAGAAACATACTGTACTGAACTTTTTTTAAAAGTTGTAACGCTTTTTCTCTCAAAAAATGGGCTTCTTCTTCTTGGTCGGGATCTAAGGTGTTGCAGATCTATGGTGAATTATTTGGGGGATTCAAAGGAATATCTAAGGATTAATGACGGAAGAAGGAATTCAAGAAAGGGGGATAACAATCCTCGGGAGAGGCTTGGGTTTTTCAGGAGGTGGCGTACGGATCTGGGGATCAATGAGTCAGGAATTATGAAACGCTGGGATAATCTGAGGATAATAAAAATCAAAGAGATACGCGGGTTATGGAGATGGATTATTAACAGAATGGTAGATCTATTATTGGTAATCTATAAGATTCAGATTGGAGCGAAGATTTGGGATCACGAGATTATGAGACGGAGTAATGGGATTCGACAGAGGAGGAAAAACGGTGAGCAAACCTATCAGGATCGAGTTATGAGCAATCATCCGGTCACGATCAAATCAAAGATGAAGATTTGGGAGCTAATGCCACAGGATCACGATCTTAGGATATCACTGATTCTCAGAATCCCATTGATGCCAACATTTCACGGCGTGGTTTTGGGAGATGTAAGGAAACCTGTATTAAAGATTTGGGGTAGCGAAGACTTAAGGAAACCCGGGAAAGGCCGAGAGTTACGGGGTCAAAGGTGCAAGGATTATAGAGAAGATTACGAGGTTTATGATGGTGATAATGGCTTCTATCGATTTAAGGTAACTCTGGTTTCCTCTGAATATTTCGGTGCCTTATTTGGCGAATTTGTTGGTCATAGAGGGGAGATATTATTGGATATCACATTTGATTCGGAGGATATGAATGAGGGATGTATAAAAGCTAACTCAGAACGAGGAAGTAGTATTCACTTAACTCGGATTAGCATCCCTTTTCACTTACAAAGATATTTCAATATTAATCTTTCAGGACACATAATGTCTCAAGCAACAAGAATGGTTACCGGGGGCTCTAGTAGCAAGAAGGAAACACTTGCTCCACGCCTGAAGATTACGGTCCCTCGATTCGACAACACGGAGCTCATCAACGCCTACAGTCGCACACTTATTGGTCGATGCATGAACCCCAAGGTGCAGGAGATGAAGGCGTTATTGTTCATGTTACCCAGAATATGGAAAGTTGAAGAACGAGTGGCAGGAGCGGATCTTGGCATGGGAAAATTTCAGTTTGACTTCGATGATGAAGAGGACATTCAGATGGTGCTACAGATGGGTCCATTTCACTTTGACGGCTGGATGGTGGTTCTCGTCAGATGGGAGCCAGTTATGGATACAAACTACCCCTCGGTGCTCTTGTTCTGGGTTCGTATGATGGGAGTCCCACTCCACTTCTGGGCGGAGACGACTTTTCGCAGCATCGGCGAGGCTATTGGGGAAGTGCAACAGGTGGATTTGGATGGCGGGAGAGTACAAGTTCTTATGGATGCATTTAAGAAACTTGTTTTTGAGACAACCGTGGAGTTTCATGGGGGAGAAGAAACCGTGGTCATTCTGCGTTATGAAAGGTTACATGGTTATTGCCGAGAGTGTCTCAGCCTATGCCACGAATCAAGCAGGTGCCCCTCGTTGCAGCCGAAGAAGGAAAGAAGAGAAGTGGTGCAGTATCCGGAGGAGAGACCAGATGGCGGCTCAAAAAGTTATAAAGGAGCGCTTGAAGGAGTCACGGAGACCGGGAGAGCCAATACAAATCAGGGACGCTTACAGGGAGATTCGGTTAGAGATAAAGGCAAAATAGTGGATTCTCGGGAGGAGGAGAAGGCTTCACGATGGGGAAGGGCACAACTGGGTTCAAACGGGGCACCAGTGGGAAGGTCTTCTCGATCATTCCCACCAAGAGATGGGAGGAAAAGGTTTGGCGGGGCATCCCACAGCATACACAGAACTGCAGAAGAGCATGTTTTAGGAGCGGCACACACGATGAGTAACCTCAATCAAAGAGAGGAGAAACAAAGAGAAGAAAGTGACAAGGATAGTCCTCCACAACACTCGGCCAAAAAGGTTAGGAAGGGGCTAATGTTTGAGGATTCGGCTATTGGAATGGAGGATCTAGGCGCTATGATTAATCGAGTGGTTATGGAGGATCCAGGGGAATCGGGGGCAGCGATAACAGAACTGGGCGGCAGAGAGGAAGTGGAAGAAGTCAATCCGAATGAACAGATTAGTGAGATCGGGTTTGAGCAAGAGGGATTAATGGATGATGTCTCTGGGGATTTCGACATTAATGATTTGGAGGATATTATGGAGGAACCAGTGGAGTTTCAGAGACCGAGTGGTGAGAGAGATGAATCTGCAATAGGAGCAAGTGACGTGGGGCATAAGGTAATTGGGTCAGATCATGAGGAGCTTTTACAACGTGAGATGGCGAAGGTGCCGGCACGAGGTGGTGCTAAAAAGCGGCTGTTCAGACCAACCTTTGCAGTCGGAAGCGGTTCTAGGAAGATAATGCACACTACTACTCCTAAGAAGAAGGGGAATACCAAAGAAGTTAAACGGGGAGGGGAGAAAGGGCCGGTACAGCAGAGGAATGGCGATGGGTCGCTAGAGGGGCAGGGGAACAATTATAAGGATTAATGCGAGTACTAAGCTGGAATTGTCAAGGTTTGGGTAACAGGTACACAATAAGTTATCTCAAGGAGATTTGGAGAAGGTTTAGACCAGATTTTTTATTTCTTTCAGAAACAAAACAAAATTTTAATTTTGTTGAGCAATTTCAATTACATTTTGGTTATGATTTGTTATTCACGGTGGATCCGTGTGGTTCTAGTGGAGGACTAGCTTTATTTTGTAATAAAAGCTTTGATGTTAAAGTTATATTTTCAAATAAAAGGATTATTGATATTGAGGCTCATGTTGAAGGAACATTAGTGTATTTGTCATTTGTATATGGAGATCCAGTTAGAAAATTAAGGGATCAGGTTTGGGAGCGGTTAACAAGAATAAGTTTAACAAGAAATGAACCGTGGTTTTTAATTGGAGATTTTAATGAAATAATCGGGAACCATGAGAAACAGGGGGGGGAAAGTAAGACCACCGTCCTCCTTTGTAGATTTTAATACTATGATTGATAATTGTGGATTACTTGACTTTCCGAATCGCGGAAATACACTGTCTTGGAAGGGGAGACGGAACGGTCAGAATGTACGATGTCGACTGGATAGGGGACTAGCAACAGAAGAGTGGCATGAATTATTTCCATTTTCTTATATGGAATATCTGAAAATGGTAGGATCAGATCATAGACCAATTATAGCAACAATTGAATCAAAAAAGATAAAACGGAAAAACCAATTTCGGTTTGATAAGAGATGGTTTGTCGTGATTAAAATTTTAAAATAATTTAATTATGGTTTTAAATACAGCTTTTAATAATTTTGTTCGATATATATGATTTTTCTTTCATAATCTATTTATATGTTAATTTACCTTTCTATTGTTAATAGAAAAATAAGATCTATTTGCAAAACTATTTTTTATTAATAACTAACTTAAAATTTAGAAACTTTCTTAATAACAACAAAAACAAAATTAACTAAAATTTAGAAATTTTCCATATAACAATTAAAACAAATTAATTAATTTTAATATTTAATATATAATTAACTAAAAATAATGATGATATGTACCAATAAAATTGAATTTTTAAATCTTATGTGGACACTTTTAAAGATATTTAGCATCAACTTTTATTAGTAATAGATATGATGATGTTTACTTTGGATTTTAATTTGGGTTAAAACTTGATTATGCCCATTATTTATTTTCGGGCTACAAGGATAATATCCAACAGCATGCAGTCAAAGCCAGACCCAGATGTATTAGGACGACTATAGGCATGGCCCATAAGTTTCTTTTTTGCTTGAACATCAAGGAACATCTCTGACCCAAACATCGGTCTTTTAACTATACATTTAAATAATCTGACCCAAATAGTCAACTATTTGTATTAAACTCTCCTTAGCTTAATGCTGCCAAATTATACCAAACTCTCTACCATTTTTAATTAAGACCAAGTTGCGTCTTTATTGAATTGATTTCACATTATTGTCAAATGTCAACGACTTGGCCTTTTAATATCTCCAGATGTCTTAACATTTCGATACCCTCCAGTTTTGACTTTTTTTTCTTTCTTTTCTAACAATTCAAGAGTTTGCGCGAAACAATGGAAACAGGTTTTTCGTTGGTGCGTAAAGAAGAGGAAGAAGATTTTAAAAATGAGAAATCAGCCGATCAGACGATTATCTTGTCAACAGAGATGATGAAGAAAGTTAGCTCCATGGCTGCTCCAATGGTGGCTGTGGCTGTTTCTCAATACCTCCTTCAAGTTATCTCCATAGTTATGGCCGGTCACTTGGACGAGCTCTCTCTCTCCGCCGTAGCCATCGCCACGTCTCTTACCAATGTCACCGGCTTTAGCCTTCTCGTAAGACTTCTTCTTCTTATTCCTCCTAATCTTCTGTCTATCTTTCTCTCTATCTGACTTTGATCGTTAGTTTGGCTTGGCAGGTGCGTTAGAGACACTATGTGGTCAAGCTTTTGGAGCAGAACAATTTAGGAAAATCAATGCATACACTTACAGCTCAATGCTCTGTCTTGTCTTGTTCTGTTTCCCAATCTCTCTTTTGTGGGTTTTCATGGACAAACTCTTGGAGATTTTCCATCAAGATCCACACATCTCTCAATTAGCTTGTAGATACTCGATCTGGCTCATACCGGCTTTATTCGGATTCGCTGTTCTTCAATCTATCTCTCGATATTTCCAGTCACAAGGCTTAGTTCTGCCTCTCTTCCTGAGCTCTCTTGGAGCTCTCTGTTTTCACATTCCCTTTAGCTGGCTTCTTGTCTATAAACTGAGGTTTGGAATCGTTGGCGCCGCTTTGTCCATTGGTTTTTCGTATTGGCTCAATGTAGGTTTGCTTTGGGTTTTCATGAGAGACTCTGCTCTGCATCGTGGAACCAAGAATCTTCGGGCGCAAGAAATCTTCTTTACCATGAAGCAGTTCATCGCCCTCGCGATTCCCTCTGCCATGATGACTTGGTAACAAAACAAATCTTCTTGCGTTTGATCGTCAGATGGATTCTTGATATTTGATCTTTAATGGATCTTTTGACTCTATTTTTCTCTTTATTGTGTGTAAGTTAAGCCTGGAATGGTGGTCTTTTGAGCTTCTTGTACTGATGTCTGGACTCTTACCAAACTCAAAGCTCGAAACATCGGTCCTATCCATTTGGTAATATGCATATCACTTTCTACAAATTCTATCATGAAACCCTTTTCTTCAAACTAGCTTTTGATGTTTCAGTCTTTACCTTTGAACAGCCTAACAATGTCATCCTTGCATTTCGTTCTAGTGAATGCAATAGGAGCAGCCGCAAGGTTTTAAAGATTTCTAATTGTTCATAAGAACACATTTTTATTTGTTGGAAATTCCTTTGAATCATTGTTTCTTCCTATAATAGCACACATGTCTCAAACGAGCTAGGAGCTGGAAATCCAAAAGCAGCTCGAGCCGCGGCTAACTCTGCGATTTTCCTAGGTGCTATTGATGCAGCCGTAGTAAGCATCACTCTCTACAGCTACCGAAGAAATTGGGCGTATATATTCAGCAACGAGAGTGAAGTGGCTCACTATGCAACTCAAATCACACCCTTTCTCTGCTTATCCATTGGTCTTGACGGCTTTCTCGCTGTGCTTTCAGGTAATCAATGCATATCAAATTGAAAGAAGTATACAGTATAATGTACAAACCAAAGGCATTTTGATTGAGAACCTCCTAAAAAGATGACTGTGGTTGTTACTTGACATCCAAGAAAGCAAGATTTTTTTTTTAAATAAAACCTTAGAATTCTTCCCTTCTTCAGGGGTTGCTAGAGGAACAGGGTGGCAACATATAGGAGCTTATGCAAACATAGGATCGTATTATCTGGCCGGGATCCCGATAGGTTCGGTCTTGTGTTTCGTTGTGAAATTGAGAGGGAAAGGACTTTGGATCGGTATATTGATAGGCTCTACCCTACAAACAATTGTTTTTTCTCTTGTCACCTTCTTTACCAATTGGGAACAAGAGGTATAAGTGTTCTTTTCTTATCTTCTTATTTCTCTTCATATTATTGCTAGAGTTTTGAATCTTGTTTTGATTTGGGTTTTAGGCAGCGAAGGCTAGAGACAGGGTAATCGAGATGACATCACAAGGCAACCAAGTAACCGAAACAGAAAGAATGTTAAAAGAGGATGTACTAGCGTTATTAAAGGATGTTTCAGAAAATGTGTAAAGTCACTTAACGTAAGTATTTTGTCAATTTTTATGGATGTTGATTTACATTTGGATTCGTTGTATGCAGAAAAGTTGAGAAATTGAGATGCAAAAGTTTCATTTAAATTTTTTTTTTTTTTGTATAACCAGAACATTTTGTTGAAGTTTGCACATAATTTCTCTGAAATTGCATCTGAAATTGGCGGGTTTTTCAGATACAAATTTATCATTTGCTATATAGACGTCTAATATACTAAATAGAAGAATTTAATTAAATATAATCTCTAATCTCGATTTATAAAACTAGAAATCATATAATATATAAAAGTTGAAGGTATAGTGCATTGAGGACGTCCACATGAGATTAAAAAACTCGATATGATTGGTCCACATCAGCATATTCATTAAATAAAAAAAATATTAAGTATAACTAGGACAGAAAAATTTGATTTAATTAGTCCACATCAACTTTTAAATCAAACCAAAAACTATTAAGTATAATTAAAATATTAAAAGTTAATTTAACAATTTATATCCAAGAAAAAAAGTAAATTCAATCTGATTGATCCAAATCAACATATTTATTAAATTAGAAAATGTTAATATGGTTTAAAATTTTAAAAGTTAAATAAAAATATTAACAATTAACAATACATGTATATAAAAAGTAACAATTATCAATTATCAATTTCAAAAAATCTACAACAACTCGATTTAACAATTAAAATAATGAAAACTGAACAAAAATATAACATAAAATTCTTGGAAGACATGATGGAGAAGAAAAAATGGTTTTGCATGATCATTATAGCTTTCTAACAAAATTAAGTGTGAATCAACATGAATCATGGATTATATATACAGTGGTACACAACATCAATAAGACTTTTAATAAAAAACTAAATATTTGAACATATAAACTTTCAAAAAAAAAACTATAGAAATTCTTTGGAAAACATAAAATAATACCAAAATCTTAGCAAAATTATATTTCTCTAAATCAAATGTATATGTACATCAAAGATGGATAATTCGATAGGTGTCATTGTTATTATTTTACCTAATAGTTTTTTTAAATTTATAAATAAAAATAGGATAAATTACACATTATATATTAAATTCTCTTATATAAATGAAATTTTTTATAAATATATATAATTTTTAATAATTTTAAAGATAATAACTAAAAAAATAAACTAAAATATTAATACAGATTCGCGCGTAGCGCGAGTTATATACCTAATTTAAATAAAATAACATAATGCATGCATGAATTTTCTCTGAAATACGTTATTCTTTTAGTCTAAAGAATCCGCGTTAACACGCATATTTTATTTTACTTCATAAATAATTAATATTTTTAGATTTTCATTTCGACTATTAAAATTTGATATCATTTCGACTATGAGAAAATATTTCTGATCATTTTTCTCTATTCTTTGTGTTTTTTTTTTCATGATCATTTTTCTAATCTCTCACATATATTATTTTATAAATATTTACGTGTTCATACAATAATTGTGTGTATTTTTTATTACTACTAGGTTTATAATTCGAGCTACACACGAGTTAAAATTAATATTTTAGTTTAATTTCTTTTATTAAGCTAGTATCTTTTAAATTATCAAAATTATATGTAGATTTATAAAAATATTCTTTTATGCAAGAAATTTTTAAAAATAGTATGTAATTTATTCCTATTTTTATTTATAAAATTTTAAATTTTATTAAGTGAAATAATAACAACGACTCATATTGAATATCTAATTTTAACGTACACATATGTTTAATTTAGAGAAAATATTTTTTACTAAAATATTGGTATTTTATTTTGTTTTTCATAGGATTTCTACAAAAATAAAATTTGTTTAAAGTTTATGTCTATAAATATTTAGGTCTTTTTATTAAGTTATTATTGAAGTTGTGTATATATGCATATATAATTTATGACTAGGTGATCGGTCCGTACCGTGTGCAGGCAATAAAATATTTTATATGTTCAATATATAATTAATATTATATATTAAAGATGTTCTAGATTTATACATTATTAATTATGTATTAATAATAACATTATGTAAATATTTAATAATAAAAAATAATGATAAATCAAATAAAAAATATTATAGATTTCAATAGATATTAAAGATAAAAAATATTACTAAAGATTTTAAATACTTACTGATCTCACCATTCTTAGGACATTTAGAGATTTAAAAAAAATATTCCTCTGCTCTTTAAAATATGTTTTTTGAGATTTTCACACTTTTAAAAAAAAATCTTGAAATGACATATTTGCCTTTTTTATTCATATAAAATAAGCAAATAGATAACAAAAAATTGGAAATACTTAACAAATACTATATTGAAAAATGAGAAAATTTACATTTTTGAAACAGATTTATTTTCTAGAATACCTCATTTTAAAAAAAAAAAGAGTATAAATTGTCTAAAAACTAAAATTAAAATTTGGCTGTAATCGAGGTTAATAAAATGCATGTACGACAGTTAGCATGCAACTTTCACTTTTGCACAATTAATATTTATATCCACACGCATATTTATGAAAAAAATAAAAGTATAGGTTTTATGTGTTAAAATAAAATAACAAAATATATGTTTTGTAATATATAGTGTTATAATGTATGGTTGAATTTGTTTTTAACAAAATATGTATATTTATGCATGTAAGTATGAGTTAGAAATAAGTAAATTAAAATATTTAGATATTGGCAAATTTTTCAGATATATTTTTTGCAAACGTTATGCTTTTACATGATGCTGTTTTTGGCGTTTAACAACAATTATGAAAATTATTTCTATCATTTTCTATTTAATTAAAATTCTTATTTTTCAGCGTCTTATGATATATAGTTTCTCAATAAAAATTTTAATAAATATTTCTTATAAAATTTGTGAAATTATATTTTATAAAATTTTCCGGTAGGTCTCCACTCATCTCTTCGTCATTTTTTTATAGTCTGCAATCGCTCGCTTCCACAAACTCTCGTAACTGCAATGTTTTAATCAGCCGTATCCTAAACTTATATGTGTATGGTTTAAGGTGTAAGATAATATATTTAATAATTTATTGTTATATTAAAAATTAAGAGTTCTTTTATTCCTAACTTTGATATATATGTTAATATAAAATATAATGGATCAGAACATAAAAAAACATGATTTATAAAATAATGTTTTAATATGTTAGAAAAATATATGCATGAAATAATTAATATGTGTAATATCATGTTTTTAAATATTTGAAATAAAAATATAAAATCGATCAAAATTATTTTTCTTTATTTTTTTGTCTTTTTGAATCATATTTTGTTTTCTCAACCTTGAATAATATCTTATATATTAAGATCATCTCTAATATATATTTTTATTTCTTTTTTTAAAATATAGGTAGATTTGTCTCCAACTTATTCTATTTTACAAGAAAGAGAAACAATTTTTAGTTTTTCCTCCTATCATAAAGGAAAAAATTTCATCTCTATTTTTCTTCTAAATTAGAAGATTTAAAATAAAAATGGGTTGGAGATTCTTTAAACCAAAGATCTAGCCCGATATTTTTACAGAAAACCAAAATCGTAGAGATGTATATTTACATTTAGTTCTATTTCTTTTTCACTAAAAGGATACTTATGATTTATCTTTTATCCGTTTATATTTTTATTTTATTTATAATTTCGAATTGTTGGTATATAATGACAATATATTCACAATAAATATAATATTTTTTCTTATTTGAAAATGAGATTTATTTAGTTTTAACTCAACCAATCAAAACATTTCGTTACTTTAAAAAATTTGCCATGTCACATTTTCATATCATATTTCCATGTCATCATTAATTTACACTAATTTTTCCTCTCTTTACAGCACATCAGCATTTTTTATTAAACCTGCTTGTCAAATAATATATAAGATATTTTGAAATAAAAATATAAAATTGATCAAAATTATTTTTCTTTATTTGTTTTTTGTCTTTTTGAATCATATTTTGTTTTCTCAACCTTGAATAATATATTATACATTAAGATTATCTCCAATGTATTTTTCTATTTTTTTCTCTAAAATATAGGTAGATTTCTCTCCAACTTATTCTATTTTAGAGGAAAAAGAAAGATTGTTAGTTTTTCCTCCAATCATAAAGGAGAAAATTCTATCTCTATTTTTCTTCTAAATTAGTAGGTTTAAAATAAAGGTGGGTTGGAGATTCTTTAAACCAAATATATAGTCCGAGATTTTTACAGAAAACCAAAATCGTAGAAATTTATTTTTACATCTACTTCTATTTCTTTTTCACTAAAAGGATACTTATTATTTATATTTTATTCATTTATTTTTTGTTTTATGTATAATTTTGAATTGTTGGTATATAATGACAATATATTCACAATAAATATGATATTTTTTTCTTATTTGAAAATGAGATTTATTTAGTTTTAACTCAACCAATCAATACATTTCGTTATTTTAGAAAATTTATCATGTCACATTTCCGTGTCACATTTCCCGGTCATCATTAATTTACACTAATCTTTCTTCTCATTACGAGACATCAGCATTTTTAATCAAACATGCTTGTCAAATAATATATGTTGATTTGCATTTAGTTTTGTTAGAAAGCTGCAATGATCATGCAAAGTCGTTTCTTCCTTCTCCACCCGGCCATCCACTAGTTTTACCTTATATCTTTATTCAGTTTTCATTAAGATCTATTTTTTTGCAGTCTAATATTTGATAATTTTAGTTTTTATACTTGTATGATCGGTCGTATGGAGTCTTCGCATTATTTTTCACTATTTTTTATATTTTGTATGCAATATGCAGACTTTGATTTGAATATTTTATCTACATATATCAATTTGAGTTTGATTCTAACTCTCTCATACTTTACTATTTTTGTAAAATTTTAGAATGTGTTATTAATGTTGGTTCAGATGTAAGTAGTAACTATGTATAGAAATCAGATTTTACTACTTGGTAAATTTTGAATGTAAAGTTAATTATGTAGTGTTTTTCTTTGTTAGTTTTTAATATCAGAAATACTCAGTGTATTAATCATTGTATATTTTACTCATGTAAACATAATGTAATTTTAGATAGTTATTTAT